CCAGAGCCGGCTGCCTCCAGCACACAGAGCCCATCCAGACCTGGGTTTTGGCAGGACCAGGCCTCTCCTCCCCCTGCTCAGCAGGGTTTCAACACAGCAGGGTGTTTCCTGGCTCTGCACAGACACAACAACCCTGCAGAGCTGCCTTTCCAAGCCACAACAAGCGTTTCATCACAGCCCAGGTGTCCCAGCACACAACTGGTGCTCTCAGGACCTTCACCAGCACCTCTGATCACAGCAGCTCCTGCAAAGAGGGCTCTGCCTGCCCTTGCATTGAGACTTTCCATCCCTGAGCCGCTGTTTCCTCTCTGCCTCCTACCAAGGTCTCTTCCCCTCCTTGGTTTAAGGACACACTGCAGTGCTAGGGCCTCAGCTCACGCCCCATAGGGAGCAGGCAGTGAGCTCTGACCCTGGCTGTGAAGATCTCCCCTAGGATGCAGCCACGAGCCAAGGCTGTGGTGGGAATGGCAATGAGCACGAACCACTGCATCTGAGATGCCACAGCCAAGGGCCCACAGGTCACAGTGTTCTTCTGCTCTAATGATGTCCATGGATTTAAGGGAGACCTTGGAACAGTCTTCCAGTGCCTAAAGGGGCTACAAGAAACCTGGAGAGGGGCTTGGGACAGGGGCCTGTAGGGCCAGGCCAAGGGGAATGGCTTGAACCTGCCAGAGGGATGACTGAGCTGAGCTCTTAAGCACAAGTTCATTACTATGAGAGCAGCTGTGGCTGCCCCATCCCTGGCAGTGTTCAAGGGATGGGAAATCCCTTTTCCACTCAGACTTGCCCCAGAACTGAGCTCCATCACAACATGGAGGAGAGAAGCAGCCCCAGTGGCCTCAAGGAGAAGTTCAACACCCAAAGGAAAAGGTTTTGTACCCCAATGGCTTCTCTGCTGATGGAGAGTGAGAAGAGCATCTCATTCCTGCTGCCAGCATAGAGGAGCTGAGGCCATCCTGACCCCCCTGCAACCAGCCCCTCCACAGCTGGGAAGGGACAGGAAGGAGTAAAAGGAAGTGCTATAGGGAGGTTTGGGGCTGTAACTCCTGTTCCAAGGCTGCAGCCAACAAACAACTGCAAGTCACTGCAGGCAACACCAGAGCCAGGATCACAGCTCCTCCTGCTACTCACAGTGTCTTAAGTAGATCCCAGTGCTCCAAAGCCTGGAATTGTGCCCTTTGGAGACTGGGCTCCAGAAGAGCTTCTCCCTGGAAGGGTTTAACCTTTCCCATTGTGAGATCTTAGGGAAAGAAAGCAAAGTAAAATGGGATTTCAAAGGGATGAGGAGGAGGTCCTGATGTGTCCACTGTCCTTTCCCACCATCAGCCACGGAGCAAAATCCTTTGGGATCCCTACAGCAAGGCCCAAAGGCATTATATGGGATGCCCAGCATGGAGCTCCCACCACAGGGCACACCTGAGAGATGCCACCGCATTGTCCAAGGGGGTAACACAGCCTGAGGGGTGTTGGATGGAAGCTGTGGGTCACAGCAGCTGGAGTCATCTGCACCCATCCCAAACCCCCTGTGGCAGGGATGGCTTGGAGGGAAAGCAGGATGAGCCCCAAAGGGGCCTGCAATGGCACTCCCTGGCTGTCAGGAAGCAGAAGGGATTGATAACTGCCTTGGGAGCACAGAGAAACCCTCTGCTGCTGGGCTGAGCCCTTGGCTTGGGGGGCTCCATGGAGCCCCCACATCTCCCTGTGTGCCAGCAGCACTGTCGTGGTGACCATCACCATGCCCCTATGGAAGGGTTTCATTGCATGGTCTCATCCTGCTGCTGGACTGGGCTTTGGGCTCCCAAAATACAAGGCAGGCCAGAGATCTACAGGTTATGGGAGGGAGAAGGGAGGACCAGGAGCATCCTGCCCATGCAGAGCCATGGCACCGAGGGTTTGACGCAGGAGGATGGACGTTGGGCACTAAAAGGCATGGGTGGTACATAAAGGCACTAGAAGCTCAAGTGGATAAGGAGAAGTGATGCTGAGCACCACTGCCTTGCTTGCCAAGCCCCAAGCCTTGGGGCCGAGTGTTGGATAAGCTTTGGGATACCCCAAAAAGGCCAAAAGGCTGCTCCTGTGCAAGTCCAAGAGTTGATTTCCTCCTGGGCAACACATTGTAAGGGCAGAGATGCTGAGCTCAACAGAGCAGCCCAGAAACAGCCCAATGCTTCCTGGAGGAGAGTCCAAGCTGGATGGAACATTTTCCATGGAGCTGAAAAACAGGGATGAAAATCCTCACGCGTTCCCATGCAACAGAAACGAGCAGGAAAATGAGAGCAAGGGCAGGGCACTGCCAACAGAGGCCTTTGGGAAGCAGGATCCCATTCCAAGCGGGAGCAGCTTCGTGCCCAGGAGCAAGGAGCAGAAATGGGGTCCTAAGCAGTGTATGGCTCAAGTCCTGCATCCCTCACTTGCAGGCAGTGGTTATCTCTGCTGCACAGACCTGGGTGTGCTCCATGCTGTGGGCCTGGAGCCTGCTTTGCTGTTTCTTAATCTGGGACTAAAAGCTCCTCCTAAACAAAACTGGTTGCAATGGAAGCCATGGGAATGCGGTTGGAAGTTTATAGAGGTCTCATAGAACCAGGGCCTGTCCCCAAGTCTTCACCTGGACAAGCTCCAGCACTTGGGATTCTGATCCAAGATAAAGCGCAGCCCCTTCCATGCTGCAGGCTCCCAGCAGCTTCCACTCATGGTGAGTGAAGGGAGATGCTCAGGGTGATTGCTCCCTGTCAGGTTTTCCATGCTCACTTCCACCAGGAGATAAAGAAGGGACCATAAAGAGCCTGAAAAGCTCTTAACAGCAGGAGGGGAAGTTCATTTTCCTTAGGCAAGCAAAGCTACAGGAAGGGAGGGAAGGAGACAGCAAAAAGCCTGGAATTCTCCAGCCTCACCGCCCTGACCCCCGCCTTGTGCTGCGGTAATGGTGTGATAGCATCCAGCCACGCTGGACATTGCTCCCATGGGATTAACAGCCCCTAACACCGGGACCTTTGAGCCAGGACCATGGGCTCAACCTCCTGAACCCTCTGCTGACAGCAGCACGATGTTCCCGGTGCAGTGCTCCCCGAAGCACAGGCAGGATGGGAGAGTTCCTGTGCTCCCCAGCACCCACGGACCAGCACTGCCCTGAGGCCTGTGCGCAACCCCGCTTTGAAGCAGACCTGGAGAACCCCGATCCAGCTCCTCCAGCACCTCCCATTCCCCAGGCAGGGCCAAGAGGAGCGACCTGAGCGCTGCAGGGGAAACGCTCAGACACCAGCTCCATGGTTTGAGTCCCTTTCCCCTGGGAACACTCCCATTCCAGGGCGGGCAGGAGGCTCCCCGAGAGCCGTCTCTCTGCTTTTCCAAGCCTTTTCCATGCTGATCCCACTCTCCAGGCTGTGCCCTGGGGAGGAGGCTCCCCTCCAAGCCTGTGCTTTGGGCACTGAGCCAGTGGAATCCCTGGGGTCTGGGAATGGCAGAGCGGTGGGGATGCTCCCAGAGGCACACAGCAAAGCTCTTCCCTAAAGGAATTTCATCCACATTCCCGCATTTCTCCGCTTGGCAAAGGCTAGGAAATGTTATTATTGCTTTAAATCCTTCAGGAGGAAGAACAGCAAATCCCCTCCAATAGGGATTTATGCCGGAAGCAGCACAGGGATGGGGGTCAGGCCCTGAACTCGGGGAGCCTCCTGCAGCAGCTCCGTGACAAACCAGGTCACAGTCCCACCACAGCCACCAGAAGGACAAAGCACAACGTGGATCCGTGCCCCAGCTTCCCTGGAATGCCGGAGCCCAGCGGGACCCTCACGGGATAAGCAAGGTCCCTTGGGACACATGGAAGAATGGATCCTGTGCCTTGCCCCACATGATTCCCTTCCAGGGCTGATGGGAGCCACCCCATCCTCCACACCACACGTGATGTCCTACTCCCAGCAACGTCCTTCCTGGAGCATCCACAGGCCCCGGGATACCCTCAGCCTGCAGTGCCCTTCCTGAGTCACACACAGACCCCAGGGCACCCCCCCACTCCTTGTGACACCCTTCTTGGTGCATGCACAGCCCCTGCCGTGGGGCAAGCCCGATCCCATGGCACCCTCTGGCCCCCTCCATAGGGTCTCCACGGACCCCACAGCACACCAGGGACCCACTGACATTCGTCCTGGGCACACTGGGACCCCACAGCACCCATCCTGGGCACTCAACGACCCCACAACACCCATCCTGGGGTACCAGGGACCCATTGATATCCATCCTGGGCACACTGGGGCCCCACAGCACTCATCCTGGGGTACCAGGGACCCACTGATATCCATCTTAGGCATGCTGGGACCCCACAACACCCATCTTGGGGCTCACATAGACCTACTGACACCCATCCTGGGGTAACAGGGACCCCACAACACCCATCTTGGGGCTCATATGGACCTACTGACACCCATCCTGGGGCAGCAGAGACACCACAACACCCATCCTAGGTATGCAGGGACCCACTGATATCCATCTTGGGCACACTGGGTACCCACAACACCCATCCTGAGCACCCAAGGAATCCACAGCACCCATTCTGGGTATGCAGGGACCCACTGATATCCATCTTGGGCACACTGGGTACCCACAGCACCCATCCTGGGCACTCAAGGACCCCACAGCACCCATCCTGGGTATGTAGGGACCCACTGACACCCATTCTGGGGCTCATATGGACCCACTGACACCCATTCGGGGGCTCCTATGGACCCACTGACACCCATCCTGGGGCTCCTATGGACCCACTGACACCCATTCTGGGGCCCCAGGGACCCACTGACACCCATCCTGGGGCTCATACGGACCCACTGACACCCATCCTGGGTATGCAGAGACCCCACAACACCCATACTGGGGCTCATATGGACTCACTGACACCCATTTGGGGGCTCCTATGGACCCAGTGACACCCGGGCCCCACTGACACCCATCCTGAGCACACCGGGACCCCGCTCCCGACTCCCCTGGGGCGATGCCCGGCCCTCACTCACCGCTCGTCGGGCGCTCGGCCCTGCTGCAGGGCGGGCTCCAGCGGCACCAGGGCCTGCCCGAGGAAGCGGTCCATGCCCACCAGGGCCCGGTGCATGACGGTGAGGAGCAGGCCGGGGCAGGCCGCGGGCTCGGCGGGCAGCTCGAAGGCGCACTCCTCCCGCCACTCGGGGCTCCCGGTGCTCTTCTCGGCCACCGAGGTGCTGTACCTCTCGCGGCCCAGCTGGATGATGGTGTACGCGTCGCTGGTGCCCGCCTTGCCGCCGCTCTTGCACCGCAGCCCGCGGGCCCGCACCACCGTCACCTGGACATGGGTGGGCAGCCAGGCCGGGGACCCCTCGGCCGGCAGCGCGGCCGCACGCAGCAGCGCCATGGCGGGACGCTGAGGAGAGGGGAGGTGCCGGGCCGGCCGGAACCGGATCCAACCGGACACAACCGAACCGGACCGGGCCCCGCTCCGAGGCCGCTGCCGCAGCCGGGCCGCAGCGCGAGCGACACCGGCCCCCTCCGCCCCTCACAAACCCCGCCCCCGAGATTGTTGAAGCCACGCCCCCCACACAGAGACCACGCCTCCTACGCTCCGCTGGCCCCGCCCCGTCTCGGTCGGAGGGGGCAAGTGCAGGGGGTGGGGCTTGCACGGGAAGGGGGTATCGGGGGGGTGTCACTGGACACCCCGAGATGTCGCGACAGCTCCCGCGCCTCACGCGTCCCCCATGGCCCCTTTCCCTCACCCGCTGCTGTTACCCTGCCCCAAGCCGTGTGTGTATGAGCAAACCTGCATGCGTGTGCGTGTGTGTCCATGTATGTGTGTGTGTGTCCATGTATGTGCGTGCGTGTCCATGTATGTGTGTGCGCCTCCATGTATGTGTGTGCACATGCATGTATGTTATGTGTGTCCATGTATGTGCATGTGTGTCCATGTATTGCATGTGTACCGGTACATGTGTGTGTCTGTGCATGTGCATGTGTACCCATACATGTGTGCATGTCTGTGCATGTGTGACCACGCATGTGTGTTCATGCATATGTATGTGTGTCCATACGTATGTGTGTCCATATATGTGCATGTGTGACCATGCATGTGTGTTCATGCACATGTATGTGTGCCAGTACATGTGTGTGTCCATGCATGTGTGTCTATACATGTGCATGTGTCCATATATGTGCATGTGTGTCCTTGCATGTGTGTTCATGCACATGTCTGTGTGTCCATACATGTGCGTGTGTCCATACATGTGCGTGTACGTCCGTGCATGTGTGTCCATACATGTGCGTGTGTCCATACATGTGCGTGTGTCCATACATGTGCATGTGTGTTCATGCACATGTATGTGTGTCCATACATGTGTGTGTATGTCCGTGCATGTGTGTCCATACATGTGCGTGTGTCCATACATGTGCGTATGTCCATATATGTGCATGTGTGTCCATGCATGTGTGTTCATGCACATGTATGTGTGTCCATACATGTGCATGTATGTCCGTGCACGTGTGTCCGTACATGTGCGTGTATGTCCGTGCATGTGTGTCCATACATGTGCATGTATGTCTGTGCACGTGTGTCCATACATGTGCGTGTATGTCCGTGCATGTGTGTCCATACATGTGCATGTATGTCTGTGCACATGTGTCCGTACATGTGCATGTATGTCCGTGCATGTGTGTCCATACATGTGCATGTATGTCCGTGCATGTCCGCACACGCACCATCACCGCGCGCAGACACACACCGCGCACGCTCACTGCAGCCCCCCCAGCCCCTCTCACGCTGCTTCACCCCGAGCACATCCCCACGGGAGCCGCTTCCCAACATCCCGACATCATTCCCGGTGCGAGGCTCCCACCGACCTTCCCCTTTCCCAGCCGCCTTTCCCTGCGGGGCCCCAGCCCTAACACACGGCTAACCCCCCTCCGCTGACCCTAAGAACCCCGTTCCACGTCCAACCCCGGCATTCCCGGCCCCTGCAGCAAGGTCACACCGATCCCCGCTCACTCCGAGCTCGGTACGGGCGGGTCGGGTGCTCACGGTCACGGCCCCGGGGCTCTGATGCCGTCGCGATAAGCGGTGTCCGGGGCCGCCCCGGTTAATGGGACGGGGCTGGGCTGCTCTGCTCTATCGCTCCCATCTAACACCGACCGGACACCTTCAGCTGTGGGCTTAATGCTGCTCCACAGCCCTTCCCCGGGGGCCGGGGGTGTCCGTTCCGCTCGGATGCAGGGACACGGGGTGCCCTGATGGTCCTTTCGGGATTGCTGCGGCTCCTTTGGCATCCCGGCACCCCATCTCCTTGCTTTTGGGGCTTTGCACCGCTCCGGCTCGCCCCAAAGAGACCGAACCCTGCGTGCTGATAAGCCACATTCCACCCCCAAAAAGCCCCCAGCTGCGGGAAATAGGGAAAAGAACCCCTCAGGAACCTGTGTATTTTCCCATGGGATGCGCTGCCCCGTCCCTATTTAAATCTGACATTAAAATATGCTTCATAGAGGCATCAAAACACAGGGAATTTCTTATCGCCCCCGAGATGAACTGAAATCCAATTATCCCACCCCCCCGGTGCCCCGCACCGCTCCGCTACTGCCTCTTATCCCTCCTCAGCATCTGCTCCTGGTTTTGCCTTCTTTTGATGGTTTTCCCCCCTTTTTTTGCCCTCCTCCCTGATTATCTCTCCTCGCCCGCATCTCCTCCTCACCCGCTTTCCATCCTGGCCCCATAATTGGGGTCCTGGTTCCATCTCCACCTTTCCCTGCCCCACTTCCCAGCTCTTTTTGAGTCCCCTCTTTGATTGAAGCGACACTTCTGCATCTGAGCCATGAAGAGCGGGGTTCATTACCCCAGGAGTCAAGGAGGGGTTGGTTATTCTCCTCTTGGATCACAGGGAAAATGGGTTAGGAGCAGCGCTGGGGCTGTGTCACTGCCCTATGGGTGCCTTCATGATGTCCTGCACCAGCCTGGGATGGGTTAAATTCTGCTTTACCTTTTGCTTCTACTTTAATTTTGGATTTAAACTTGAATTTCCCCTTTAAGATTTCCTTAAACTTTGCCTTTTCCCTTCAACCTTGATTTGTCTTTAACATTGATTTTTGCTTCCTCCTCTCCTTCCCTTTCGCTCACCCTCTCCTAAGTATCATTGCAACAGCATCCTAGATGAGGGCTCTCCCATAATGCCATCTGCCACACGAGCAAGGAGCTGGAAAACGATGCTAATAACATGATTTTGTTCCCCCCCCCAACCCCTTTTTGGTGCAAAATGCTGCTCTCCATCGTGCTGTGCACCTCCAAGAGCTCCTTTGCTGACTGGGTTTGGTTTATGGGATGCTCTTCCCTGTGAGGGTGCTGAGGCGCTGGCACAGGGTGCCCAGAGAAGCTGTGGCTGCCCCATCCCTGGCAGTGTTCAAGGCCAGGTTGGACACAGGGGCTTGGAGCAAGCTGCTCCAGTGGAAGGGGTCCCTGCCCGTGGCAGGGGTTGGAGCTGGATGGGGTTTAAGGTCCCTTCCAACACAAACCAGGCTGGGATTTATGATGAGTGCTGAGACTTGAGGAGGGAGCGACTGCACCAGCACCCACACAAACAAGCTTGGGATTGAGGGGAAGAGATGAAGAATGAGCCAAGAGCTGGGGATGCAACACCCCAAATCTCTGCAGCAGCAACGTGAAGCATAGGAACATCGGATCCCAGCCTGGTTTGGGCTGGAAGGGACCTTAAAGCTCCTCCAGCTCCAACCCCTGCCACGGGCAAGGACACCTTCCATAGCTCTAACCCACCATTGAATGCAGTGCATGGACACGCAACCCACGTTTAACAGCATCACCAAACCTCCCATTGTTCCATTGGGGGGTACAAGCAGAATACCCCCTAACCCCAAGGTACAGCAGTGATTGGGGGTGTTTTCCCACCACTAAATCCCAACTTGCAGCCCAGGAATGGCAGGAGGGTGATGGAGGCAAGGGGAGGGGGGGTGAGGTTGAAACCAAGACAAATAAAGAGTTCCAATGGGAAACGATTAAAACTAAACTCAACTCCAATAAATGGGAAGCGGGCGAGATAAGGCCCGGGCGGCCTCGCAGCCTATTTAACATTCATTGGATTGAATAATCAGGCGTCATTATCTCCAATTGCTGCATATTTGCCCTCAAAATGCTAATGGGGAAGCTGGCTGCGAGCGCCTCTTGCCTATTTGGACTGAACTATTCCTTGGATTGGCCTTTGTAGCTCCGGGGGCATTTCCCTGCGCGAAGCGAGAGGGAAATGAGGGGGAAACAGGTAAAAAAGGAAGAGCCCCCCCCACTCCCCTTGACGTTTATCAGCTGTCTATGGGAAAGCAGCGCCCTGTTTTGCTTAGAAATGGCATTTTTAGGCCTTGCAGTGAAATGAGAGGCGTTATCAGCCAGGGGAAGGGGGACAGGGGCTTTATCGCGCATCTCGGGAAGGGAGAGAGGAGAAATGATTTGCTTCTATTCTGATTGTTTGCTTCCCTCTATCCCCCCCCCTTTCCTTTATCCCTGTCTCCGTGCCGCCCCCATCACCCCTTCGCCCTCTGCTTCGGGGAGAAGGGGAGGGGGTTGAATCAAAGCTTTGGGCTTTATCCATCGGATCCCACCCTGCAAATGAACCCCCGGCTCCATTTGATGTGCGGGCGGGATTCAGAGCATCAATCTCTTCATGTTATTACCCTTTCTAAAAGTCAATCAATAGATAATAAGGTGGGAAGAATGGGCAGGAGTTAACACACACACACACACATACACATACCCCCCCTGTTCAGAGCCCAGGATTAGGGTTATTGAAGGGCAATTGCTTCGGAAGCGTTTCAATCCGGCGTTCGGGATGCCGGGATTCACTCCCGGCTTAGCCGCGGCACCGCCGGCCACCCCCAAATGACCCGTTTCTCATGCAGCAAGCTGTTTGCAGAGCAAACTGCAATTGTATGGGAGATTAAAGGGGGCTTTGTGGGGCCGGGGGGAGGCCAGGCGGCCCTGTTGACAAATAAGGGTGGAAATCCGGCCCCATCAATTCCGCAGGCACCTCTGGATTTGGCAATGACACTGCTTTTGACTTTCCCGGGTGGGCAGATGGATGGGGAGGGTTTGGAGTTGGTCCCACATTTTGGGGGGGCGGATGGGAGTGTTAAAAGGGGGGATGTGGGGATGCTCCAACCCCCCCCCAACATCCCAGCCCCAGGGAAGTCAAAGGAGAGATGCGTGTTCAGCCCCAAAAGCAGCGCATGGAGAAGGGCAAACCTCAACCTTCCCATTGCCCCCACCTGGTGTTGTCCCATGGCACGGTGGGGACAGGCACGGCCTTCAGGTGCTGACCAGGACTGTGCCCTTTTTGGGTTGATTCGTGGGGTTTGGGGGCTGCTTGCAGCTCACGTGGGTTCTCC